TGAAAAGTTTGTTAGCTGTTAGCCACATGTTGCTAACTCAGTCCTCATGTTGTAGTTGGCTGCAAACTATGAACTGGATTTCCTGAATGTGGGGCGGGTCTTATTACTCTGGGTTCATGAGACACGCCTCCATTCAGGAAATCCATTCCATAGTTTGAAGCCAACATGAATCATGGATCGGAAAATCCGATACGTAAATTACGCTGGTATCGGAGGCCGATACCAATACTGGATCGGATCGTCCCCATCCCTAGCGATTACAATAGGCCTTCGCAGCGCTTCGCTGCTCGGCCCTAATTCAATAAAAAAATTATTAATCCCAGAGGTAAATTAAATATTGTTGTAGCTCATCATCCTGGTTTCATTAGAGTTCTTCTAGATGCTGATGGCTGTGGGCAGGAAGGATCTCTTGTAGCGTCTGTCCTACAACGGATCTGAAGAAGCCTCTGACTGAAGATACTCTGTTGTTGTATGACAGTCTGTTGTTGTATGACACTCTGTTGTTGTATGACAGTCTGTTGTTGTATGACAGTCTGTTGTTGTATGACAGTCAGATGTTGTATGACAGTCTGATGTTGTATGACAGTCTGTTGTTGTATGACAGTCTGTTGTTGTATGACACTCTGTTGTTGTATGACAGTCTGATGTTGTATGACAGTCTGATGTTGTATGACAGTCTGTTGTTGTATGACAGTCTGATGAAGAGGATGCTGAGGGTTGTCTATAATGTTCTTCATTTGATGAAGAATCCTTCTTTGTACAATCATCTCCAAAGGTTCTAGAGGAGTCCCCAGAACTGAGCCAGCCTTCTTTATGAGCTTCTTGATCTTATTTAAGTCACTTGCTCTGGTGCTGCTCCCCCAGCAGATGATGGCAGAAGAGACAGCGCTCTCTACAACAGACTTATAGAAGATATGCAGCATCTTGCTGCAAACGTTGAAGGACTTCAGCTTCCTCAAGAAGTACAGTCTGCTCTGTCCCTTCTTGTAGACGCTTCACTGTTGCAGCTCCAGTTCAGTCTGTTGTCCAGGTGAACTCCAAGATGGTTATACTTCACCACCTCCACTTCTTCTCCCATGATGGAAATAGGGTTGGACCTGTTCCTGATTCTCCTGAAATCTACAATCATCTCCTTTGTTTTGTTCACATTCAAGATGAGATGATTGTTTCCACACCATGCCACAAAGCGGTCCACCAGTTCCCTGTACTCAGCTTCTTGTCCATCTCTGATACACCCGACCACTGCAGAGTCATCTGAATATTTCTGCAGATGACAGGAGTCTGTTTTATACTGGAAATCTGAGGTGTACAGAGTGAAAAGGAGTGGTGAGAGTACAGTTCCCTGTGGTGCTCCTGAGCTACTGACCACCTGGTTAGTGTAGTGAACTAGGCCTCCAACCTCAACCTGTCTCTGAAGACCTTCATGGGACAGAAACTGTTATTTCATTGATTTGAATCCAGAAATACAAATTATCTCATCAAAAGACTATTTAATGGTATCCTGAATTAATCAATTGAAAGAACACTCTTTCTTTTTACATTATCATTACTATTTTAGAATATCTTGATAATCAAATGTGTGTTTAGTTCATACCATTTCTAAATGTTGAAGTGAACCACTCATTTAAATCAACTGTGAAACAGTATTAATGATTTTTAAACCTCATTAGACTTTGATAATACAGTTAAATGTCTATTTACAAAGTAAGTGTGCATTTAGTCTTCTGAATGAATGAGGATTATTGATGTCGGTCGAAAGTCAGAGACAAACAGAGATGAGTTATTAGACCGAAGTGTCTTGTTTTTAAAACTAGCAGACAGTAAATAACTTCAACTGGCACCTGCGTTTGTCCCACTTCGTCACAACATTTCTCTGTCTGTACTAACCGTTCGTAAACATTCCTGCTGTCTCTTGACTTCTAGTGACCCTCTTGACATCACTAGAACCACCCCCCTGCTGGTTGTTTCAACCAATCAGGAAGTACCATGTAACAGGAAGTGTATACCCCTTTAAAAGGAACACTTCGTGGAACTATTGAGTTCGGTGCTGGAAGTTCGGTCCTGGAGTTCGATCCTGGAGTTCGGTCCTGGAGTTCGGTCCTGGAACTCAGTTCAGTCCTGAAGTGCAGTCCTGGAATTCAGTGCTGGAACTCAGTCGGAGTCTTAAGTCTTAGGGCTAAGTCTTCAGAACTTGGAGCGGATGGATGGGACCGTGTGCCAAGGGGTCCCTCCCTTTAGCGGAGTCACGGCTTGCATCGCTGTGCACTCAACCCGAGCAGTAAATGCGCCACTTCTAAGGAAGCTTATTTGGTGGAACTGAGTATATGCATTTATTCTAAAGATTCCCAGCTACTTTAACCGGAGACGCTGTAAAGGGATCGTACTAATGGACTTCTGTTCCGGAGTGGATGCATCCTCTGCTAAGGTAACGAAGTCGCTGCACGTCCTGAAGTGTACCGGAAAGCTGAGCGGGTGTCGGAGGAAGGGTGCAAAGTTCTGGTTTCACACATAGCTTCCATGTAAACCTCTTTAAATCTTTAAACACTTCTATTTCTCCTCTTTAACTTTTCTATTTGCCAGTAATCTAGATGCCTTCAGAGGTGAATCAGCCTCGATCAGTAATGTTCTGTTGTCTTGTTAGTAAAGCGTGCCAAGTTTTTATTAATCAGAAACAGATCAGCAAATCAATGTGTACATGTTTTGATGTTAAATTTTGATTCTGTTAAATAAATGACCACATTTATTCTGATGGGTCAAAGATAAAATGGCGTCTCATGTCACTTATTAAACAATCCAATCACAGTTATCTCGGTCACATGGCAGAAATTTAACTCAAAAAAGAAAGAATCCATTGCAATTAAACATTTAATATTCTTTGTGCTTGAACTAGCTTTAAGAATAATTAATTAGTAGTGTGGCTACAGCAAAGCTGTCCTGACATACTACATTAGACACACAACCCTTCAGTCTCACAAGCTGTTACGTTTTGGAGCTGACTGTGGGTTGTCAGTCACTGCAGCTAGCTACTGCTAGCCGTTGGGCCTTAGCTAGCCTTGGACCCGCACCAGCCCCCAGCACTTTCCTCCGGCTTTATCTCCCTCAGAAGTGGCAACTCATGCTAACAAATAAATCAAGGAAGCGTGGATTCAGTTTTACCAATTATATTAAAAAAGGCAAGAAAGGTTACAGTTTTACAACGCTGGACTCTCCGGACTGTGACGCGTTCACAGACCCGGAAGAGCCCGATGTCTCGTGTCATTACTCATTTTTAGGGCCCTAAGGCTCCTCCTTCACAGAAGGGGAGCTCAAACTGTCATGTATGAGGGGGCGTGACTTAAGTGTGATCTCAGTGGATCTTATGTGGACTGACGTGTTAGGAAATATATGAGACTGTGCTTCAAAAAGCCTTTCTATGTGATGTGGCAAGCAGATTAAACTATATGACTGATATTGAAATCCCAGGGAGACTCTCTTGAGAGCTGCTGGCCCAGTTTAACCCAGTCAGAACCGGGTCATAATTTCATTATAATCACGGCTCTGAGCAGATCAAAACCATAGGACCAGTCCAAAAATATCGTAACAAAACTGGACTGATGGGTGCGTTTTCTTTGGCACTGGAACAAGACAGGAGGTTTTCCACAACACTGGAACCTTCTCCAGGGTCAGGCTAAGGTTGAAGAGGTGCTGCAGAACCCCACAGAGCTGCTCTGCACAGACCTTCAGGACTCTGGGACTGACACCTTCTGGACCTGCAGCCAAAAGGGTCCATGACTGAGGTGGTAGATACAATGTTTGAGGTGTGACAGGACATCCTTGGGTCAGTGGAGGGTGGTATGTCTGTTTGGCTGTGGGCAAGAGAGGAGGATGCTGAGCTTGTTCCTGAACTGAACCTATTGAAGAATGTGTTCAGTTCACTGGCTCTGTCCAGGCTTCCATCCTTCTGATCCTCCTTCTGCTTGAAGCCTGTGATCTGTTTCATCCCTGACCACACCTCTCTGATATTGTTCTGTTGGAGCTTGCTCTCCAGCTTCTTCTTGTACACCTCCTTGCTGTTTCTGATCTTGACTTTTAGTTGCTTCTGTGTATTCCTCAATAATTCCCTGTCTCTCTCCCTGAAGACTCTTTTTTTCTGGTTTAGCAGTTCCTTCAGGTCAGTGGTGATCCAGGGTTTGTTATTGGGGAAGCATCTCACTGTTCTGGTGGGGATGGTGTTGTTTACACAGAAGTTTATATAGTCGGTCACACACTCAGTCATTGATGTCCTCTCCATGTGGCTGGCACAGTGCACCCCAGTCTGTAGCCTCAAAACAACCCTGCAGGGCTTCTTGAGCTTCCATTGACCATTTTCTACAGTTCTCTTTATTTCAGGTTGCCTCTGAACAAGGGGTTTATATTTTGAGCAGAGAAACACAAGATTGTGATCTGATTTGCCAAGAGGGGGTCTTGCTTTAGCGATGTATGAATCCTTGACATTTGCATAAAACAAGTCCAGCGTTTTGTTTTCTCTGGTAGAGCAGCTGTTGTGTCTGTAGCTTCAAATTCAAATTCAAAAATACTTTATTAATCCCAGAGGTAAATTATTTGTTGTTGTAACTCGTTATCCTCATTTCATTAAGAGATGTTATAGATGCTGATGCTGTAGACAGGAAGGATCTCTTGTAAAGGTCCATCCCACAGTGGATCCTAAGAAACTGGTTGCAGATGCCGTCCGATTCGTCCACCCAGACTCGGCTGGCCTCTCAGTTCCTCCGGGCTGTAGGACCATCCAAATGCTGGGCAGAACTCTTCCCAGTGCGATGGTCACTCCTCCCGGAACCTCGGAGCTGATGACATCACACGCAGTCTCTGCAACAGCATTGGGTTGAATGTAAACAGTTGCCAAAATAACACTGGTGAACTCTCTTGGCAAATAATGTGGACGACAACTTAGTGCTAACAGTTGAATATCTGGACTGCAGAGACGACACTTCACAGTAACATGTCCAGGATTCACAAGCACTGCCAACCCACCTCCTTTCCTTTTGCCACTCCTCTTTAAATCTCTATCTGCTCATATGGTCAGAAAGTCAAACAAGTTGTTAAACATTTGATTAAATTGATTTAAAGCATAAATGACGAGGCTCCATGAGACTAACAACTTGTAGAAATAAATTACTATTTTAGAGAGTAGTGAACAGCAGCGTCAACCCCCCAACACCGCCCCCCCCCCACACACACACTTCAATGTCTGACCCAAACTCTTCTCAGCTGAATTCAGTCCTGCATGTTCTGCTCCAGTCTCCATCAGCACTGTCTTCAGTCCTCTGTTGTCCAGCTGAGGACAGTCATCCATTTATTGTAGAAAATAAACTGGACTGTCTTTTAAATAGGGCTGCAACAACGAATCGATAAAAATCGATGATTAAAAGCGTTGGCAACGAATTTCATTATCGATTTGTTGTGTCACGCGATTATGTGTCTTTCACGGCGCTGCGGAGTCGTTTTGTTCACGGGCAGTTCATTGTCAATGCTGACTGACTGAATAAAGTAAAAAATAAAAAAAACCTGCAGCGCGAGTTGAACAGAGCGAGGGGGGAGGAGGAAGCAGAGCACAGGCTGTTTTCAAAGGAAATAAAGTAAATTATACAAATGACCAATGCAGAGAAAACTGTTCGACCCAAGTCCTCCAAAGAGTGGGAGAACTTCACAAAGATAAAAACTGAGAAACATGCAGCTTTGAAAAGTGACGACACGACACGAGAGAACCACGGAAATGAACGTAAACATGTCGGAGTCACAAGGAGGAGGAGCTGTTTTGTTAGCTACTTTTTCCTTTTGACTGTCCTTTCGTTTCTCATTGTATTAAAATATTTATAGATTAAATTTGTATGCCTCATTTATGATTGTCCACTGTTGTCATCACTTTGTTAAAGAAATCAGGTCTCTTTTGTAAATGAGTCCCTGAGGCTCAATGGAATTAACCTGCAGAAATAAAGGTTGAATGAATATTTGTCCATTAAACCCAATGAATCCAATCAGCTACTTAGACTACAAGCATGTCTTGAAGACATAAAAACCTGGATGACCCTTAATTTTCTCCTGTTGAACAGACAAGACTGAGGTTTTGGTTTTTGGACCTGAGCACCTTAGGAATGAATGTTTCAGTCTTTCTCCCTCCTTAGATGCATTAATCTGTCCTCCAGCTCTAATGTTAAAAATCTTGGTGTTATTTTTGATCAGGACATGTCTTTTATCCCCCACATTAAAAACGTTACTAGAACCTCCTTCTTCCACCTGCGTAATATCACTAACATTAGAAACATCTGATCTAAAGATGATGCAGAAAAACTGGTCCATGCATTTGTCACGTCTAGACTGGACTATTGCAATGGTTTATTATCTGGGTGTCCAAATACTTCTTTAAAACGTCTTCAGTTGATCCAAAATGCTGCTGCCAGAGTCTTAACTGGAGTTAGTGGGAGAGATCATCTCTCTCCAGTTTTAGCTTCTCTCCATTGGCTCCCTGTCAAATCCAGAATAGAATTCAAAATCTTTCTTCTAACCTACAAAGCTCTCAACAACCTAGCTCCATCTTATATTACAGATCTTATTGTTCCATATTTTACTAACAGAGCACTTCTCTCTCAGGCTGCAGGTTTACTTGTGGTTCCTAGAGTTTCCAGCAGCAGAATGGGAGGAAGATCTTTCAGTTCTCAGGCTCCTCTCTTGTGGAACCAACTTCCAGTTTCTGTCCATGAGACTGACACATTGTCCAGTTTAAGACTGGGATTAAGACTTTCCTTCTTGATAAATCCTATAGTTAGGGTCGGCTTGTTATGCTGCTATAGACTTAGACTACTGGAGGACAAACTGACCTCATTTCCTTAAATGAATTGTTAAAATTGAATAGTTTTCATTTGATACTATTTCTATCTTAACATGTGATTCTTGACCTGCCATTGTGTATCTATTCCTACCAAACCCAGCCGGTGGAAGCAGATGGTCCTCTTGTCCTGATCCTGGTTCTGCTAAAGGTTTCTTCCTCATGAGGGAGTTTTTCTTTCCACTGTCGCCTTCATGCTTGTTCAAGATGAGAGTTCAGTGATGGAGTTAAACTCAAAGCTGCTCCTCAGATAAATAATGTTCAATTATTATTTTATACATGAATGTTTCTGTTCAATTATTATTTTATACATGAATGTTTCTGTTCAATTATTATTTTATACATGAATGTTTCTGTTAAATTATTATTTTATACATGAATGTTTCTGTTCAATTATTATTTTATACATGAATGTTTAAAATAATAATTGAACAGAAACATTCAT